CGCAGGCCAGGGGTCAGCACCTGTTATTTGTTCTGGAAAAGCCTGTGCAGTGTTCACAGGACCCTTCGGGGCAGCCGCTTTGTGTGCGAGCAGAGGCGGCCCTTCCTGAGCTGTGGGCGCTTCTGCCGGGGGCCGGGGGCTCGGGTCCCAGCAGTCGGGACCCTCCAGCTCCACTCAGCACCCTGCACCCTGCACCCTGCACCCAGCACCCTCCACCCTGCATCCTCCACCCTGCACCCTCCACCCTGCACCCTCCACCCTGCACCCTCCACCCTGCACCCTCCATCCTGCACCCTGCACCCTCCACCCTCCACCCTGCATCCTCCACCCTGCACCCTCCATCCTGCACCCTGCACCCTCCACCCTGCACCCTCCACCCTGCATCCTCCACCCTGCACCCAGCACCCTCCACCCTGCACCCTCCACCCTGCATCCTCCACCCTGCACCCTCCACCCTGCACCCTCCACCCTGCACCCTCCATCCTGCACCCAGCACCCTCCACCCTGCACCCTCCACCCTGCACCCTCCATCCTGCACCCTGCACCCTCCACCCTGCACCCTCCACCCTGCATCCTCCACCCTGCACCCTCCACCCTGCACCCTCCACCCAGCACCCTGCACCCTCCACCCTCCACCCAGCACCCTCCACCCAGCACCCTCCACCCTGCATCCTCCACCCTGCACCCTCCACCCTGCACCCTCCACCCAGCACCCTGCACCCAGCACCCTGCACCCTCCACCCTGCACCCTGCACCCTCCACCCTGCACCCAGAGGCTGAGGAACACTTGCCCCCCGTGGCCCAGCCAGAGTGCAGGCCGCAGGAGCCCTCGCTGGAGGGGCACGAGGCCATCCGCAGGGAACCAGGGCTCAGAGGGCCTCCCGCCCCTTCCACAGGTGGGGCTCCCCCCCCCAGCACCCGCGGGCACACGTCCACCACGGTGGGGGAGGGGCCTGTGCAGAGACCGTTGGTGGGTCTGCGAGCAGGGGGCGCAGGGGCGTCAGGGCCCCGTGAAGACAGAGGGCTGAGGATCGAGTCCCAGAGTGAAATGCAGGCGGCCTCGTCTGTCCGTCCGTCCATCCGGCCTCCAAGGTTTAAAACCCCACCCCCGCTCCTCTGTCTTAGTTCCTCCTGGACCTGGCGTGAGTCCTGTGGGCCAGGGACCAACCGTGAGCCAGGGGCCGCTCAGGTCAGCGCACGAGGACCGGCCCTGGCTCCCCCCTGAAAACCGCAGCCCCGGTTCCGCAAGGCGGCAGCCACGGAGGACGCCTGCGGGGAGCCGGCCAGTGGGCCTCTCACCCCCCGGAGAGACCGGGCTGAGACAGGAAGGAAGGGGCGGACAGGAACCTCATTTCCAAGACGCGGCGTGGGTGAGAATTGTGTGTCGCCCCCCAGCCGAGTGCTGATGGAGTGGTGGCCGGCAGACGAGGAAGCTCAGGCACAGGACCTGTCCTGACGCGCTGACGGAGGAATAACCTCCCACAGTCCTCCCCGCGCGGTGTGACCCCAGCGCCTGCCCCTCACTGAGGGGATGACACAGCTGCTCTGTCTTCAGGGTCTGGGGACTGTTCTGACGAAGAGCCCAGGGTCACCCGTCCTGCTCGGGGTCACAGTGATCGTCCTGGAGCTTAAAATACAGCAGGACGGCCACCTGGCTGACGTGGCTCAGTGGACGGAGCGCCGTCCCGTGGACTGAGAGGTCCGGGTTCAATTCCTGGTCGGGGCGCATGCCTGGGTTTCGGACTCGATCCCCAGTGGGGGGCGTGCAGGAGGCGGCCGATCGATGTTTCTATCTCTCTCTCCCTTCCTCTCTCTAAAACTCAATAAAAACATATTTTTAAAAATACAGCCAAATAGAAAGCCCAGAGGACCGGACTCCAGCTGTAGGGGGAGGGAAGGAGGCCGTATTGGCTGAAGCAGGAAAATCCTGATGAACTGAGGCAAAGGCAGCAGGCGATGTTCCCCTCGTCGCCCGAGTCCTCGGCCACCGTCCGCAGCAGCAGGCAGACGTGGCGCGATGGCCACGACCACGCACAGAGGTCACCGCGTGACGGGGAGACAGTGATTAGAGGAACGTGAGGTGCTCGGTTAGGACCGTCCAGCACGGACGTGGCTTGCAGGAAAGTGATGTTTGTTTCAACATGTTTTCTTTCTTTTTTAAATGTGTTTTTATTGATTTTTTGAGAGAGAGAAACATCGATCGACCGCCTCCTGCACGCCCCCCCCCCGGGGATGGAGCCTGCAACCTGGGCATGTGCCCTGACCGGGAACCGGTCCGGCGACCTCAGTCCAGGGGACTGTGCTTCATGCGCTGAGCCACACCGTCTGGGCTGGTTTGTGTTTTGATCATAAATTGTTAGTTTCTCCCAGAGGCCCCCGAACCTCCTTCGCAGTCGCCGTGGGCACCTGGGGGTGGGGGTGATGTCTGTGGTCAGCATCACAGCCTCCGGTGGCCGCTGCGCACCCACGTGTCTGGTTCTCGGCCTGAAATTGGGGGTGGGGTGGGCTGTAGCCCAGGGGACAGCGTGCAGCTGGGCAGCCTTCACTGGACGTAGTAACCCGGGAACCCCGAGGGGTATCCAGCGAGTGGCCCACATCGCGACGCGCCCCCGGACCACTGTCCCCAAGGAAAAGCTGTGGCTGCAGCACGACGTGGACGTGTGTCGTGGGAACTGGCCGCCGAGGGAGACGCTGGCGGGACCTGAGGGCTTCGTCCCAGCCCCGAGCGGACACGGCTCCCACGGACCCCGCGGCCGATGGAAAGTGCACAAGCTGCTCCCACGACGTGACTGTCAACTGCCCTTATCGTCCTTAATGACACGAAATGGGGTTTTTCTGAAGCGTGAAGAGTGACGCGATTTCATGTGCAAACAGCAACGTCTCCTGAGCATTCTGTCCGGGTCCACGCCTTGGGGTGCTGTGGACGTCCACCTTGGACTCGCCCCAGGGAGCTCTGGGCCCGGCCGCAGGGCCACCTGTCTGGACCCGCGAGGAAGCGGTGGCCCCACGTGGTGAGGTGGATGCCAGAGGGTGGGGTTGTGGAGACGCACCCCGAAACACCTCCAGCACATGCCAGGGCGGAAAAGGGGGAGACTCAGGCCGTGTCCCCACCCAGGGACGCAGGTGGGGAAGCAGATGCAGGCCCGTGGGGAGGGGCCGGCTCTCGAGTCTCCTCCGGGGAGAAGCAGAAGCCTCCTGGGTCTGGTGCTGGTCATGGGCAGGCTGGGGGGGGGTCTGCCTGCCTCGCTCGCTCTGGGTGTCCAGGGGGCCCCAGCGGCCTTCCCCCCTGAAGCGGGAGGGCGGCTCCCAGGCATTGGCTCGGACGTGGGGAGCAGTGTCCTTGTGAGGAGGAGACAGATCTGGGGACAGTGGTGGTGAGGCTGGGGTGACAAGGCCAAGGGCCAGGGCACATGCAGGGGAGCCGACCCCCAGAGGCCGGGCACAGAGGAAGGACCCTCGCGCTCTGCCCAAGCCTCCCACCTCCTCCCTGCGCCCCGACTGCCGTGCCCGGTGAGACCTCCTTCCCTGGACTCCTGTCCCTTTCGATAAATTTTTACGTCTTGATCCCCTGCCTCATTCTGTCTTGCTAACCCTCGTCCAGGGATCTTCATTCCCTGGACTTTTAGAGAGAGAGGGAGGGAGGGAGAGAGGACGGGGGAGAGACACCACCCCGCCAGGGCTGGGGATCAGACCTGCAACCCAGGTACGCGCCTTCGACTGGAATCAAACCCAAGACCCTTCCGTGCGCAGCCTGACGCCCTAACCATTGAGCAACACCGGCCAGGGCCCTGCCTCAGTTTTTTTTTTTTTAATCCTCACCCGAGGACACTTTCCCATTTTTTGTACAGATAGAGTGGGAGGGAGAGAGGAAGAGAGAGAGAAACATTGACGTGAAAGGGACACATCGAGTGGCTGCCACCCGCACGACCAACCAGGGCCGGGGACAAACCGCAACCGAGGTACATGCCCTTAGCGGGAACCGAACCCGGGTCTCTCTGGACCGCAGGCCGACGCTCTAACTGCTGAGCCAAACCGGCCAGGGCAGTTTTAAAAATGCTTTTGGGGCCCTGGATAGTATTGCTCAGTGGTTAGAGCATCGGTCCGTGAACCAGAGAGTCGCGGGTTCGATTCCTGTCAAGGGCATGTACCTCGGTTGCAGTTTGTCCCCGGCCCTGGTTGGTCGTGCGGGTGGCAGCCACTCGATGTGTCCCCTTCACGTCCGTGCTTCTCCCCCCCTTACTCTGTCTGAAGATCAACAGGAAAGTGTCCTAGAGGGAGGATCAATAAAATAAAACGAAACGCGAGTGGGTGACCCCCTTTCTGTCCTCTGCTGGGCCCTTCCGGAGAGCGCGCTGTGGGCTCCCTCCCCCGACTCTCATGGGCCCACGGGTGACAAGGACTCAGGAGAAAACCCTCCGTGGTCGGAAACTTCCCTCCGGAATGAGACCCGGTCTGACGTCCCAGCCGCTCTCGGGGGGCAGGTCCGCGGTCGTGGGCCGTGTGGCCAGAGAGGACGGTCCAGCCCGCCAGCCCTGCCACCCAGCGTGTCTGTGGCTTCGGGAGATTTGGGGGGTGGGGAGGAACCACAGAGGGAGGCCAGAGGGGCAGGGTTGGGCTGACGGCCCCGCCTTCCTCATGTGTGAGGGGACAGGGGCTTTGGGGGAAGGAGGGACAGACGGAGGTGTGGGGGGACGCCACGCAGCCTGGCACGTTGTGCCCATGTGTGGCAGGGCGGCCGGCAGGCTGGGAGCTCTCCCCGCTCGGGCGCAGCAGCAGCATCCGTCAGCTTCCCAGCGCCCTGCCCTCCCGCGGGCTGGAGCCTGGCACCGGGATGCCCTCGTCCACCGTCGAGGGTGGACACCTGCCCAGGCCCCGGGAGGCGTGGACACGCACCGTCTCCGTGGTCTGACGCCCACGTCCAGGACACAGCGGCTGGGCGGGGACACCTGGGGTCTCGTCCCCCAAATAAAGACCAGCGGCCTGTGAAAGCGGAACTTTAATCTGGCGCAATCACCTTCCCTCTCGCGCTGCGGGGTTGGCCTGGAGACAGGGGTGGGGAATCACACGCACGCACAGCGTCCTAGGTTCGGATGGGTTTCTACTGATTGTTTGGAAGGACCACGGGGGAGGGAACAGCGGTTCACACACGACGCGTCAGCGAGGAAGTGTTTTCATCGTTAAAGACACAGACAGAAGTTTGGCATCTTTCTCCCCACTCAGCAGGTCACTCTCTGCGCAGCGGTGTTGGGGTGTCACATGTATCCGGGAGGCAAGGACGTGTGCAGGGGGGAGGGGCCCGGGGCCCGGTCTGTACCCAACCCCCACGTGAAGCCTTCTTGGACGGGTCTGAGTTTAAGGGAACAGGTTCTTCTCCCTCCGGGGTGGGGGGACGCTCAGGTGTCCTAACCACCTCTCGCTGCGCCCTCTGCAGGATGTCCAGCCGGGGGCCGACCTCAGTGACCTGGGGCCTGGCCCCCGGAGGAGGCCCGGGGTCGTTCTTGCTCCCACTTCCCCCCGGTTGCTAAGATCTCACGTCGCTGAAGGAAAAAGGTGGCTGACCCCGTGGGAAAGCATCCACGGCCTTCTCTGGACGCCCGCAGGGCCCAGGGCACCCCGAGAGGGACGGCGGGCGCCTGAGGGGAGCGAGCTCTCTGGGCCCCTCACGGCACGTCCCGCGGGGAAGCGTCGTGTCTTCACAGTGTGCGGATCCATCTGTCTAAGAACCCGTCCCGAGGGTGGGCTCGCCTACAACCTGGCCAGGGTGACCCGTTGTTCCCCCCCGGGACACCCCTGCCCGTCCTTTGGGGGGGCTGGAGGGTGCCGGGCTGTGAGCAGCCCCCGGGGAGGTGTCAGCAGCCCCCTACGAGCAGAATGGAGCCGCTGTTCCGAGTTTCTCATTACTGGTCAGCCGTTCTGTCCGTCCGGCTCCTGGGTGAGCCGGTGGCTCCTCCCGGGGGTGAACGTCTTAAGCAAATGGCAGGTGTGTTTCTGTGCCCCGCGCCTCCTATGGGCCCTCGGGCCAGCGCCCCAGCCCCAGGGCGTTACCGGTGGCCGATGCCACGACCTCACAGGGGCGGGAGCCACACGCTCACACTGGGATCGCAAACTGAGGACGAGGGTTGAGCTTGAAGGAAAACGGAGTCATTCCCGGGACGGTGAAGACGGATGGACGGGCGGCCCCCAGAACCGGGCGTTCCCACACACCTCTATCGGTACTGGGTTGGACAGAAATACATGTTTGAACTGCTAAGCGGTAGTGACTACGGGGGTTTCAGGGCCCTAGGAGGAGGCAGTTGTGCTGAAGACACGTGGACAGCGCGGTCCCCAGCCGGGCGGCAGGCCGGGCGGCGCTCACTGGGGCAGGGCCTTGAGGATGGCGTTCACCTCCTCCGCCACGGCCGTCAGCGCGAACTCGAACTGCTCCTGCGGGGAGGGAGGGAGGGCGGGCGTGAGTGACCCCGGCCGGGACAGCACAGAGGGACAGGCGGGCGGCCGCATCCTGTGGCCAGGACAGGACGCAACTCCCAGAATTCCCGATGTCCTTTCGTCTCACGTTGGACACAGAGAAGCTGCGATAGAAATGGAGCCGCCGGTGCTGGCGAGGGGGGGTGTCTGGAGGGTGAGAGGAACGGGGAGCCTGGATGGACCGCCAGGGCTCACACGCTCAGACCGACAGGGTGGCGTTACACCTGCTCTGGAAATCAGCCCATTATCCAGCCCAACCCTTGACCCTGCCGGTGAGGACCTGGGCCGTCCCAGGCACGGGGTGCCCACTTCCTGTCCTGTGGGGACCTGGGCCGTCCCGGGCACGGGGTGCCCACTTCCTGTCCTGTGGGGACCTGGGCCGTCCCGGGCACGGGGTGCCCACTTCCTGTCCTGTGGGGACCTGGGCCGTCCCGGGCACGGGGTGCCCACTTCCTGTCCTGTGGGGACCTGGGCCGTCCCGGGCACGGGGTGCCCAGTTCCTGTCCTGTGGGGACCTGGGCCGTCCCGGGCACGGGGTGCCCACTTCCTGTCCTGTGGGGACCTGGGCCGTCCCGGGCACGGGGTGCCCACTTCCTGTCCTGTGGGACCTGGGCCGTCCCGGGCATGGGGTGCCCACTTCCTGTCCTGTGGGACCTGGGCCGTCCCGGACACGGGGTGCCCACTTCCTGTCCTGTGGGACCTGGGCCATCCCGGACACGGGGTGCCCACTTCCTGTCCTGTGGGGACCTGGGCCGTCCCGGGCATGGGGTGCCCACTTCCTGTCCTGTGGGGACCTGAGCCGTCCCGGACACGGGGTGCCCACTTCCTGTCCTGTGGGACCTGGGCCGTCCCGGGCATGGGGTGCCCACTTCCTGTCCTGTGGGACCTGGGCCGTCCCGGACACGGGGTGCCCACTTCCTGTCCTGTGGGACCTGGGCCATCCCGGACACGGGGTGCCCAGTTCCTGTCCTGTGGGGACCTGGGCCGTCCCGGGCACGGGGTGCCCACTTCCTGTCCCAGGGGAATGTTTGAAGGGCACTTGGAAATGATAGGTACTATTTCTGCAATTTTCTTGCAGGTGTGAAATAGTTTTAAAATAAAATTCGTAGCTCAAATAAAACACATGTTTTAAGAAGCACCGCGTGTGCCTTGAACCGCAGCACCTTGGACCATGTACGCTCCGTGAGGTGGGCAGCCTTGGGGCGGAGACAGAGCGGGAGGCGGAGGCGGACCTGCTCCCCTGCCCCCGCCCCCCGCGGGCAGCTGCCGCCCCTCGTCCCAGCCTGGGCCCCGGAGGATGACAGGTGGAGGCACCGCCAGCCGGGAAGGGGAGGTGGCGGCCGAGTCCGGCCAGCAGAGCCTGGGGTTCGGAACAGGGCTGTGCCCCAGGGAGCAGTCGGGGCCTCACATGGTCTGTCGGCGGGGGGCCCACGAGACCTTGGCAGTCAGACGCTCGGCCCCGTGAGTGGGGCTCGGGGGCTTCTCTCCCCTCGAGCTCGAACGCTGCGTCGGGCTGTCATTTCCCCTCAGTCAGTCGGGACGAGTGGGCGGAGAAACCACTCAGCTTGTGGGGGCAGGAGGAGCCCGGGAAGTGGGGGGCGTGCCTGGGGTCCGGGACTCGCCCGCCGGGCTCCCAGCACCACCCCGGCCATTTCGGCAGCTGCCTCAGGAGCACGTTTTATCACAAAGTCCCTGAGCACAAAGCGGTCATTTTGCAGGGGCCTCTAGTGAAGACCGGGTTCTCCGTGGGGCCCACAGCCCGAGGACAGGGCTGCAGCGAGGAAGTGGGGCCTCTGTGCTCCGAGGTGCTGGCGCGGGGCGGGGGCTGCCGCCCTTTTCCCAGCCGCCCTGAGGCCCCGGCGGTCACGGCTGTACCCCGATGTTGCGAACTTGGCCTGTTCATCAGTGTGCACGTGAGCTATTTGGGGGTGCTCAGGGACACCCTGGGGACCCTCCGGTGACCCGTCCTGACGGCCACACAGCAGGGCTCTGGTTGTGCGAGCTGGAAATACAGCAGAATCCAGAGCGTCCCCTGCAGGGTGCTGGGGCAGCGCTGACCCTTCGGTGACAGCCAGGGCCTGCCCCAAACCTGGGAACTGGACCGACCCGGCCCGTGGCCCGGCTGCTGGGCTGCTGTGCAGTGTCGGAACTGCAGGGGTCACCGACCCCCCCAGGCAGGCCGGCGGGGGTGGGGCTGCGCCAAGCCCCTCCTCCCTCCCCTGGAGGGGACAAGCCCAGGCCCTGGGGGTCCGGCCTACCTTCGTCTGGACCATGCCCGGCCTCTGGTCCCTCAGGTGCTCCAGGGTGGCCGCGATGTCAATCTCTTTGGCGCCTGCAACAAACAGATCGGCTGAGCTCAGACAGGTGGCCCAAGCCGCCTCTGTCCTGCGCGGCCCCTCGGGCCCAGAGGCTGGTTGGAAATGACTGTGCCCACCCCTCCGGCCTGGGAGGCAGCCGTGGCCCGGGGTTCACGCAGGAAAACGGCAAGAGGCCCCCGTGGCCAGGACCTGGCTGAACGTGGCATCAGACGCCCACGCACAACTCACCGGCGCCAACCACCACCGGCAACTCATGGTTCAGGCGTCCGAAGGAGCCGGTGTGTAGGATTTAGTTTTGACCGTATAGGGTTTTTAAAAACAAACATGTCTTTATTGAGTTTTGAGAGAGAGAGGAAGGAAGAGAGAGAAATGTCGATGTGAGTGTAAGATTTTTTCTTAAAGAAATGAAAAATTAGACTAGGCGTGCTCATCTTATTATGGGCTTTTTTTTTTTTTTTTGGAAATCCTCACCCGAGGATATTTTTCCATCTATTTCCAGACAGAGTGGAAGAGAGGGAGGGAGGGAGAGACACACACATCGACTGGCTGCCTCCAGCACGAACTGACCAGGGTTGGGGACCGAACTGCAGCTGACGTCCGTGCTCTTGACTGGAATCAAACCCGGCTCTTTGGTCCATGGGCCGGTGCTCTAACCACTGAGCTAAACCGACCAGGGCTTGGCTCTTTAAAAATTCATTTTATTAAAAAAATTTTTTTTTCTTTGTTGACTTTAGAGAGAGAGGGAGAGAGAGAGATGGAAACATCGATGAGAGAGAACACCAACTGGCCGCCTCCTGCAGGCCCCCCACTTGGGATCAGGCCCACAACCTGGGCATGTGCCCCGACCGGGAATGGAACCGGTGACCTCCTGGTGCAGGGTCGACACTCAACCACTGAGCCACACCGGCCGGGTCAGGGCTTGCCTTTATTTTTTATCCTCACCTGAGGACGTGTTTGCATTTAACTTTAGATAGAGCAGAAGGGAGAGAGGGAGGAAGAGAGAGAGAGAAACATCGACGTGAAAGGGACACATCGAGTGGCTGCCATCCACACGACCAACCAGGGCCGGGGACAAACTGCAACCGAGGTCCATGCCCTTAGCGGGAACCGAACCCGGGTCTCTCTGGACCGCAGGCTGATGCTCTAACTGCTGAGCCAAACCGGCCAGGGTGAAATAACACTTTTAAGCTTTATCCTCGTCATGAACTCAGCACCCCCTTTGCTGTCCGTTCGCTCCGTCCTCTGGGAGACCGAGCAGGATGGCTCCCACCCCCAGCGTCCTGCGGCTCAGAGGGGCCCGAAGGGCTGTCGGCAGGATGGCACAGCGGGCGCTGCAGCGGGCGACGCGGCTGCAGTGGGCACGGCCACGGACAAAGCCCCAGACAGTTCAGGTGCAGCGTTTCAGCTCACATCGTGTGAGAACGCGGCACAGCGGTCTCCCCCAGCCCCGCCACCTCGCTCTGGGCTCAGGGTTCAATGCTGAGTGAGAAACGCCACCCGGGAGACCGATGTGGGACCAGCTGCAGCTCACGTCAGGCGCAGCCTCAAGCTGGAGGCCAGTGCGGGGCTCCTTGCGGGGTGCAGTGAGGGTGCGGGGCTCCTTGCGGGGTGCAGTGAGGGCACAGGGCTCTTTGCGGGGCGCAGTGAGGGCGCGGGGGCCTGTTCCGCGATCTCCAGGGAACAGCAGATGCTCAGCTAACCGTCCGCAGAGTCCCCGGGAGGAGCTGGCAGCTGTGTCCTGCGCGTTGGGGACCTGAGTGGGGGCTGCTCAGCTGACCCAGAATATGAACTTCCGGGGAATCAGTGGGGGATAAATAGTCCGATTCAATGGAGAACACCCCAGTCCTTCCAAAGTGAAATACTGCGGGTTCATGTGGGGTACGGACTTAAAAACACACCCCCCCTTTTTAGGTTCCTTAGGGCACCCCTGGCCGGGGCGCTCAGTGGTTAGAGTGTTGGCCGAGGACCAAAGGGTCTCGGGTTCGAGTCCCAGTTGAGGACATGTACCGGGGCTGCAGGTTCGATCCCTGGTCCCGGTTGGGGCGCGTGTGGGAGGCAACCAACCAGCGTCTCTCACGTCGATGTTTCTCTTCCTCTCCCCCTTCCACGCTCTCTAAAAACTACCGCAAAGAAAAAGCACGTGTGCCGTTGGAGAACAACAACGTGTGTGGAGAAACCCGCCCAGACGGCGGGACAGGGACGGCCTTGGAGAAGCTTCCGGTGCTGTCAGCTGGCGGGGCGTCGGGACCACCCGGCCCGGAGACACGAGGTGGAGGGTCCCGGCGGGGTGGAGTCAGGGCCTCCCCTGGGCCCGGGGCTTCCTCCCCCTCCCCCTCCCCGGACGACCCAGCACCGTGCTGCCAGGGGGCCGGTTGGCACAGCCAGACGAGGCCGAGCGGAGGGAGGCTCCGGGCGCATTCGGGGCTCCGCTCCGTAAACACGAATCTTCTCCCCGTTACTTCCTCGCCCGCTCCGGGCCCAGGGTCCCCACGTTCACAGGGGTTAAGTGCCTGTGTGAGCCCACAGAGGCCTTTGGTTCTGGGCGAAACAGCATGAACCACTCGACACGACCCGGAGAAAAACTGTTTTCGTGAGAAAGGGTCCATCGAGGGGAAGGAGACGCCCCCTCATCGGGTCTGTGCCTCTTTCCCTTGGCATCCGCATCCGCGTGCTGGTCAGCACGTCGTGGGGTTCCCCTCACGCCGCGGGGCACCTCTGTCCGTGACCGTGGCCGAGCCCGCTGTCCAGAGCCACCCGGTCCCTCCTCACGCGAGTCAGATGTGACCTCGTAAACGCACACACGTCTGCGGCCGTTTCCGCCCGAGGGGCTCTGGGAGCTGCGGGGCCCAGGCAGCCTTCCCTCTCGTCGTGAACAGGACGGTCCGTGACCTGTGCCCAGGACGGGAAGGCCGGGACCCCGGGAAGAACGAGGCGATTCCCTGTGTGACCGGACAGAGGTGACGGCTGAGAATCCAGACGCAGGTGCGGACGGGCTACTGTCCCAGGGGGCAGCCCGGGCACTTGGCCTGGGACCCAGGCCCTGGTTTCAAACGTCCACGCATCTCGGCCGCCCCGGGCAGAGTGGCCCTGGAGCACCGGTGGGTTTAAACCCCAACAGGCCTCACGGGGTCTCTGAAGGAGGGCGTCCCGACACCGTGGACAGCAGAGGGGACTCGTGACGCACGGTGATGGCGGTTCCGCTCGGCGAGGCTGCGGAACCCGCTCTGCTCGGAGACCCTCGGCTCCCAAAGCTGGGCCCCTGCTCCTCTGGCCGGAGCGCGAGAGTTCACAGCAGGCCCAGGCCGGCTGGGCTCAGCGTTGGCGCGTCGGCGCACGAACCGAAGGGCTTCGTGTTCGATGCCCAGTCAAGGGCACGCATCGGGATTGCAGGTTCTATTCCTGGCCCCAATCGATGTGTCTCTCTCACACCGATGTTTCTCTCTCTCTCTCCCCCTCCCTTCCGTCCACTCTCTCTAAAAATCAACGGAAAAAACATCCTCAGGTGGAGATGAACAACATCAGAAAAGCTAACGTCTAAGAAAACATGAAGGCGATTCTCCCAACGCAGGGTCTGGCGAGCGTCTCAGAGACAATCCCGGGAGCACAGGCAACAGAAGGGAACACGTGTGCACTGGGCTCCGTCAAAACCCGGGCTGCTGTACATCAAAGGAACAGGCCCCGCGGGCGGGGGAAGGAGCCCCTATAACTCAACAACGACCGCAACAGCCCCACTGAAGAAACGCGCCGAGGGCATGAGCAGACACCTCTCCCCAGAAGGCGCCCCAAAGGCCAACAAGCTCGTGAGAAGATGCTCAGCATCACCGGTCCTCGGGAAATGCGAACAGAACACAACGAGATACAGCGTCACACTCCCTGGGATGGTTACTGTGGGGAAACAGAACCACCACCCAGAAGACAACAAACGTGGGAGAGTGGGGAGAAAACGGGGCCTTCGTGCACTTTGTGGGACACGACGCAGCTTCCTCAAAGCTTAAACGTGAGCCCTGGCCGGTCTGGCTCCGCGGTACAGCATCGGCACGCAGACCAGAGTCTCGGGTTCGATTCCGGTCAGGGGCATGCACCTCGCTTGCGGTTCATCCCCGTCCTGGTCAGGGTCGTGTGGGAGGCAACCGGTCAATGTGTCTCTCATGTCGATGCCCCCCCCCCCACTCTATCTGAAGATAAATGGAAAAATATCCTTGAGTGAGGACTTAAATAAATAAATAAACAAACAAATAAATAATAAAATAAAACCAATGTCCTTCTAGGGGGAGCTTATACTTCTAAAACAAACAAACAAACAAAAAACACCCACAAAAAACCTTAAACATGGAATTAGTACATGGCCCAGGAATTCCGCTTTGGGGTAGACGCTGAAAGGAAAATGAAGCAGAACCCTAAAGAGATGCCCGTGTAGCCATGGTCAGAGCAGCCGCAAGACCCAGTGTCTGTGGACAGGTGAATGGGTTCACAGAGCGAGGTCTGCCCCTGCCGTGGACTACGATTCAGCCCTGAAAAGGAACGATGTCCTGTCCCAGGCCTTGAGGACCCCCTCGCATGGGGACCCAGCGCTGTCAGACCCAGAGAGAAAGGGGACAGAGGTCCGCGCGTGTCATACACGGAGATGCTCACACCCCGGGCCGGGACAGGGCGGAGCAGGGCAGACGGCGGAGACGGACCAGGAGCTGGACGGAGCCCCAGCCGCTCACGACCCCCGAGCAGCGGCAGCCCCAGCAACCTGAGCTGAAAAGGCACTTTGGGGGACTCCCAGGTGATTCCTGGGGGCCTCACACTTTAAAGGGAAGCCCCCGCCCTGCCAACAAAAAACCCGCCACCCAAACACACTTGGGCTTTTGGCAACAACAGCGGCTGGGGGGCGGGGGGCGACCCACAAACGTGACCTTTGGGAAGCTCCACCGTCCATGCCTTTCGGACAAGACGAGGGACAGAGCAAAGCAAACCCTGCGTGTGGAGATCCACGGAGAGAGACTGACTGAGAAGCCTTGGGAACACGCCGTCTGCAGAGCCGGTCACCCTGGGCTGTCTGTCCGCGAGGGAGGGGCGTGCTGCCCACACGCTAATTCTGATGCAGAACCTGGGTGACAAGGCAGAGCCCCCTGTTCGCACAAGAAAAAGTCCGGAAGACTCGGGGGTTGAGTGGATTCCCCGCCGCACAGCCTGGGCCGACTGAGGTCTGTTTCCTCGGACTCCGGGCCACGCGGCCGTCGGCTGCTAATAAGGCAGATTTAAGTTATTCCTGGTTTACTTCTCAAAGGCCCTGGAGGAGCCCAAGGCCCTAATCCCCGGAGGCGTGTGAATGCGGCCGGCGGCCGGCCCAGCTGCGCGCTCTGCAGGCCGGGCTGCGGGCCCTGGCGGGCTGGGTGCAGGCAGGCTTTGCAAAGGCCTTTGGTCCTCGAGCGATTCATCCCTTTTAAGAAAAGGAAACGGGAAGAAAGGCTCCGCGTCCAGGCTTTGGGCCTTTGATCCCTGGACGAACGCGGGGTCCGCGGCCTCCTGCTTCTCAGGCCAGACAAAGGCGCCGGCCGCCGAGGCCAGCCCAGCCCGCCCCAGAACAAAACCCCCGGCGGCCGCGCAGTGTGGTGGCCTGGGAAGGGCCCCCTCGCCGCGGAGGGGCCGCCCTGCCCTTTGATCTCTCCCGAGACCACGGCTGCCGGGGGTCAGGGATCTGACACCGCAGGCCCTGGGCGGAGGGGAGCAGGTCAGGCACAGAAAGGGGTGAGGGCTTTCAGAAGAGGCCTGGGGTCTGCCCTCTTGAGGCCGTTCCGCACGGCTCAGCTGGCACTGCGGGGCGCCGGCCTGCACCCCCAGGGCACTGTGACACCGCAGGGCCTGAGCCAGCCAGCTGTGAGGACAGCGGTCAGCCCCACTCCGGGGCGCTGCTCTGTGCAGCAGACCGGAGCCTCCAAATCCCAGGCCCCATCCCACCCGCTGGGTAAACGCCAGGGCGGATGCACAGACACCGAGACTGCGCTGGCTGAGTCCCGCCCCCGGCTCCTTGCCTCCGACAAGCCAGGCTCCGTGGGACGCAGCCAAGGGCCCAGCAGGTCCCCGTGTCCCACATCTGACAAACAGGCCAGGCGACTGCCTCCTTTGGAAGCAGCTGGGCGGAGGGGGCGGGGGGTGGATGCTCGGGGGGGAGACCGTTCCATCGAGGGCTGGCTCCCGGTTCTGCCAGTTCCCAGTGAACAGGTGTGTTTGACGAGACACAGCAGCTTTAACCAACGGAGCGAATGAACTACCGGCTGCGAAAAACGTCAGGGTCGCGTCAGGGTCTAGACGGACACGCTGTCCGGAGCGGGGTCAGAACGCTTGCCCTGTGTGGGCTGTTGGTGTGCGTCGTCAGCGCTGTGCTAACGCAGGGGCTCGGGGTGACCTTCTCGAGCCCCCAGTCCTCGCGCTGCAAACCACAGGCCGGGTTTCATCGCCACACGTCTGTGTCTTTGGGCTCAGAGGTGTTCCGTTTGTTTGTTTGTTTGAACCGGAAAAGAACGGAGTAAGGAAAATGCCTGTGGTACAGGTGCTGTCTGACGAGGTGTAGAAACTCATTTCTGGAATCAGGGTCGGGACGAGGGGCGCAGAGCAGGACGTCTGGAAGGTGGGGGGCTCGACGGAGAAACGTGCGTGTGCTGAGGTAGAACGGCTCACTCACGAGTGGAGACCGCAGGGCACCGTTTCAGTGTCTCCTCCCCGAGCGTGTGGGACAGCGACGGGGGTCAGGAGGGGGCTGGTCACGAGACCAAATCTCCTAACGAAGGCAGGGCCCATCCGAGGGTGGTCCACTGGCACCCGCTCTCACCGTGATCGCGAGCGCCTGGTCCCTAAGCAGGCCCCCTGGGGGCGTCCAGGAGACCCCTGAGAGATGCCGGGCACCGCGCACACTGGGGGACCTGGGGTGCAGGGCGTCACAGGAGGTGCGGTGGCTTCTGTGCCACTCTGGACGGTTCTCAACCGGGGGGTTTGGAACCCCTGCGCTGCGGCAGCACCAGGACCCAGGCCGCCGGTGCCTCCCATGTTACGCGAGTTCCCGGGCCCCCTGCCACGCCCAGGGCCCCCTGCTACGCCCAGGGCCCGCACCCCCAGCGCCCAGCAAGGGCGGAAGCTCAGGCACCGCTGCAAACAGCCTGCGCACGACCCACCGGGAAGAGGGGCGACCGGGCTGATCTTCCCAAAGCCTCTGTGAGCATGGCTCCGGGTTGCCATAGCAACGTCACCACCCGAGCCACCGCCGAGCGGCAGGCGACTCACCTTTGGCCATCTTGTTGAGAACCATGTCGATCAGGATGTAGGTGCCGCTCCTGCCTGCACCGTCGCTGTCAACAGAAGGAGAAAAGTGAAAACGCCGCGGCCCTTCACCCCACGCCCGCCGGGCGACCACAGCGCACGTCTCCTGTCGGGGGTCAGGAGGGCAGGCTGTGGGTGGTGGGGGAGACTGGGGGCTCCGGGGCAAGGGGGGGTTGAGGGGGAGGGGGAGGAAGTGAGAAAGAGGAAAAGGAAGTGGAGGACGAAGAGGAAGAGGAAGAGGACGTGGGAGAGGCGGACGTGGAGGGAGAGGGGCGGGCAGGCCGGGACCCGCCCCAGCGCAGAGCGGAGTGGCCCTGTGCCTGCGCAGATTGTTCCTTTCTTCCTCTGTTCCCCTTCGACCAGGGATGTGGTAAAATGTGTCGCAGACGGAGTCAAGGAACGTGTGGCTGTGTCGGTCGACGGCATCGGCGCTCACAGCGTCTACACGTGCTCTGGGGACCCCTGACCCCAAGGCGGCCCCACCACATGCCTGGCACCCTGCACACCTGTCCCTCGCTCTGCCCCAGCATTTCCTGCATCTCCTCCCCACCCCCAGCTGCGGCCGGGACCAGAGGGTGGACAGGTCCTGAAGGCATCTCAGCAATACACACGGAGGGTCCTTTTCTGGGGGACACAGGCCCCAGCGCCCCCCTTTTCCATACGGACATGTGAGACCGTCAGTCCCCAAGGGGCGAGTCCCTGGGAGGGATTCTTTACTTGGTAGGGCTGTTCTCACCCGGAGGGCTTTACATTTACGCTCCTGGCAAAACCGATTGTGACTTTAAGGACAAAAATGTGTCCACGGGCAGACTTGAGGCGCCAGGCGACTGAGGACAAACCGTGTTTCCAGGTCGAGCTACAAGGGCCGTTGGCCCTGAGAGGTCCTGGAGCCTCGGGCGGCTCTCGTCACGCCCAATGCGTCTGGCTCGGGCGTCTTCTCAAACCAGGGGCTGCAGCTGGGAAGTGGACCCTGCGGCCGGGGCAGCGGAGCAGCCTGCCGCCAGCCCCCCCGGGCCGGGGCCCCCCTGTCACTGCGTCCACTCTCTCCTCCTCCGTGCGACTTCACGCAACCGTTTCACGATCGACCACAACACCTTGCGGCCCTTGTGGGTGAGAATGGTCCCTTCCCGTCTTTGAGGAGCCGAACCGTCTCTCTTCTCTTCTCATAGACAGACACACAGACACACACACACACACACACACACGGAAACACGCACACACACACACACACCTCCTGACTGCGCGGCAGGCCGGTGCTGGTGCTTGGGGACGGGCCCCAGCAGAAAGGAACACTCTACAGGACATTTCCAGGAAATGGATGTGGCTCTTCAGCAAACAGGTGCTCCCGGCCCCCCCGTCTGCTGGGGGGGCTCGTCTGACACGGGAGCAGGAGCCCAGGCTCTGTGCCCCAGGCCCCACCTCAGGCAGTGACCCGAGCGGTCACTCCCGGTGTGGCCACAGGCTCGTCCTGTTCACCGGCTCTGAGTGTCTCACCATCTGCACCGGGTTCAAACCGCAGCGGAGACAGCGCCCCAGATCAGAGGCGCCGTCACCCAGAGTTTGTGCGGTGGCCCCACGGGGGTCAGGGAAGCCAGGGGCAGACACGCACGCTGGGGCCAGACGGCCGAGCGAGCACAGACCATGGAGAAAACAGACCGCGTGCAGGCTCCGTGACGGGAACGCGCGGGGGCCAGGCGTGCGCCTTGGTCCCTCTGCAAGCGCCGGTGCGGGGTGATTACGAAGCCACTAGAAAGTTGTACTTGCCTGCAGTGAACAATTATTGGGCAAGAACGGCCTTTGTAGCACTTGTTTACTTTTCTGAAATGAAAAGAGACACAGAAATTACGGTCACGCACTGCAACGCCTCCGCCGTGTCACCCAAACCACGACTACAGCCTGGACACGCCCACGGCAGCCTGGACACGCTCACGGCAGCCTGGACACGCTTGCAGCAAGAAAGTCAAAACAACACACGTTTTCAAAGCTTTCTCTTTCTTTCCAGGACTACGTTATTAAACAGCTTGCGCCACGATCCTTGCGCCTTCATAACTCCCCTTCCCTTTCCAAGTGTGAACTCGGGGCCTGAGGTCCAGGGGCCAACAGATGCCCCCCTCTCGTGTCCCCACAGCTCACGTCACTTCCAAAAACTGCGATCTGAGCGTCCAGATCCCTCCTTGAACTTTTCCAGTTTTGCGATGTTTGCTCAACGTGCCTTACAATCTAGACGTCACCTTGGAACGTGACGTTAGTAGTGTCTCCAAACGGCACGTTGGGGAGACCCTTCCCGGCCTGTGGGGTTTGAAAGTGCATTTCACTGACGGAGACACCTGGACGGCGTCCCAGCCCAGTCTGGCCACGTTCATAAATTTGGGGGTGTTTGGAAACAACGTCACTGTGCAGGACTTACGTCAGACAATAAGCACAGATTAAGGTTTTCTAGCTACATTGAAACCGAGGCTGCGCTGAGCTTTGCTGTATAGACTCTGAATTTTGTAAAAGTCAGTGGAGCAAGTCAGCCTGCAAAGTCCATGGAGATTCTCAGTAAAATGGTTCTGGATGAAGACAGGAGAGACGGACGTGGGCACTGGGGGGAGGCGCGTGATGGGCGTGCTGCAAACGGGAGCCTGTGCCGGGGGCGTGAGGGAGCAGAGGACAAGCTGGGACCACGTCCCTCACCCGGAATGAGGAAGTGTCATGCTCGTCTGTCTGCTCGGTGAGCGTCGTCCGTGCACTGGGAGGTCCAGTTCGGCTGTGGGCTCATCCCCAGTGGGGGGCGTGCAGGAGGCGGCCCACTGATGTCTCTCTCATGGATGTTTCCATCTCTCTCTCCCTTCTTCTCTCTCCGAAAAAATCAATTAAAAAATTAACTGGCTGCTATGGTACAAACTTGACCAGCCAAGAGGACCGGGTTTGGGGGACAGGCAGGTGACTCGGGTCATGACATAAACTCAGCTGACATGGCGCAGCCTGAGCATCAGTGATGTGCTCCTGCTTCCTCTACAGGGTGGACAGAGTAGTCCTTGGGCTCTTCTCAGGGGAGGTCTACGGCCTTGAACGGATAAGAGGTGCCCACACGGGCCAAGTGCCCAGCCACCCGAAGACGGCTTAAAAGTGAGGACATGCAGGGACGTGGGCCAGCTAGCCGCCCAGGGGCCCACGGCCATGTCTGCTTCTTTCCTTGCTTTTGGAATGCGCTGCGATGTTACGTCCTGTGGGTGGGGGGAGGTCAAAGTGAAACGCGTTACCATCAGCGGCACACGTGAGCCAGGCAGGCGCCTCACAAGTTCTTGGCCCTTTGAGAGTGAAGCAGGTTGGAAAAGAGACCCACTCACTTCTCTTAAAACCTCTTATTTTTAACTCAAGAGATAAAGGCGATGTGAGTGTAACCCTTGATAGAACAGAGGCCAGACCTCGTACCCGAGTGTGGGCACACATGTGTGTTTGTGCATGTGTGCGTTCACCAGGCTTCTGGACATGTTTTTGCACATGTGTGTTTTTGCATGCACGTGCATTTGCACGTGTGTGTATTTGTGCATGTGTGTGCAGTTGTGCATGCAAGTTTGTGCATGTGTGTCTGTGCCTCGTGTGTATTTGTGCATGCATACACACATGTGCATGTGTCTGTGCCTCGTGTGTATTTGTGCATGTGTGTCTGTGCACACGTGTGTATTTGTGCATGCACACACACGTGCATGTGTGCATGCATGTGTTTGTGCCTGTGTGCGTGTTTGTGCCTGTGTGTGTATTCGTGCATGTGTGTATTTGTGCATGTGTGTGTATTCGTGCATGTGTGTGTGCGTGAAGAATCCAGCAAGCTCAATGCTCAGACCACATTATTTCTGCAGGTCTTTCTCTTTCAAACAGAAGATTTTACTGAAAATTTCTCAGTCGCGGGCTCTTTCCAACGTGACCCTGCTCAGCCTCGCGTGTTAGGACTAAACTCAACTTCCCCATGTTCAGGCACTGGTCAGTCAGCAGGTGTTGGCCATTTATCAGATGGGACCAAGCACAAATCTGAACATTAAAAACACTGCGTAGCCATAACCAGATGCCCTCCTGTAACCCGGTGGGCTCAGACAGCTGGGTGTGGGGAGTCTGCATGAGGTCCGTGCATCTTGCCAGCACACGGGCAAGAGCAGCCACACCTGCTCCCGGCCACCATGGCTCAGCCGGCGGCTCCGTTCCTGCCTTGCCCACCTTCGTTTGTGACAGACTTGAGACACTTTTCTCCGCACGTCCTGGCCAGCCGCCTCGGCAGCGCCTGGGAAGGTGTTGCTGAGGTTGTAACGCCCATGCCAGCCCCTGCCCGCGCCCACGCCGGTACAGACACGGGCTGCTGCGGCTTAGAATCTGATCGACAAAGGGTCCCGTGCGTGGCTCATGACGACGTCAAACCCCGCAACAGAAAAGCAACGGCATCCCGTAGTCACCAGACGCGTTCACCTGGCGGGCCCGGGAGAGTGGCAGATCATCCCCAGAGACGAGCAGGGCGGGGCTGCCGCCTTCTACGCTATCAGAGCAAACGGTCGGCAGAGACAGACACAGGAGGCCTTCACTGAGAAAGAAGGTTAGTGATACAAACCAGCCCACGGCCACTGAGCGGCAAGCAAGGTCAGAGGTCGTTAGAGGCTCAGAAAGGGGTCCCCACACTGTCCCCTGCAGTAAAGTCACAGTTTCCAATGATCACTTTTGTGACTATGCAACTGGGCTCATATTACTAGCTGCAACGTCACAAAAATGACACCGGCCACCGCTAATTAGCTGGTAAAGTAAGGGTTTGTCCGTTTTACAGCGTTAGTGAGCGGATCAGAGAGGCAGAGAGAGAGGTTTCTAGAGCGAGGCCCTCACAGGTGATGCTAACGATCTCTGAGCCGAGCAGGTTCTCTTTAGAGTGTGCGTGGGCCCCCCGGGGCTCCAGAGACGGCGGATGACATGCCGCGTGCCTGATGCCGGCGGGAGCGGCGCTACTGTTCACGGGCAGGTGTCGCCTCCGTGGGGTGAGAACCACCAGTGTCCCCAGAGGCAGCCGCGTCCCCGAGCGCTGGGGTTTGGGGGCTTCGCACTAGTCTACACAGAAAACCACACAGCCACGACCCACGTGGGCCTGCCACCCGAGAGTGTCCTGGCTCACACCGCTGTCCAGCTCCTACGGGAACGGCGCCCGCGGTGACCCACCGAGTGGGGACGATGGGCCGGCCAGGGGAGCGTCCCATTCTAACGAGACGTTAAAACGGTGTCTGGGGTTTGCGTTCCCGTCAACGTAACACAGTCCTTCCCAGCGACTCCTAAGACTGGAGGAGGGAACGCGGAGTCCACGCTGTTCCCGAGGACTCGCAGCTGCGGATGGAGAGCCGGTGTTGTTAAGTCCGTATGCGGACACGGATCCTGAACGGTGTCCATGCGCACATAGGAACAAACACGGGTGAGCACGCAGACCGGGTTGGGGTGAACCCCTCTACTTCCGTCTGCCAGCAGCGCCCACTGTCTGAGACCCCCAGGCAGCGCACTCTCAGGGTGCCTTAGGGGTGCGCCGTGTCCCCACCTCTTCCGGAGGGGGGGCGGGGCGGGTCCCTGGCTGCGTCTGTGGCTGTGACGCCCAACGCTTGTCTCTCATCCAGCTCTGGGACCCAGAGAGCTGTTCACAGGAAACAATGTGTCTGTTTTTCAAAGTGGATGAAAAGGCAAGAGAAACAGTATCATCAGAACCTCGGACTCTGTTAACATACAAACTGGGAAATCCTGATGTGTGGCCTCAGGACTGGAAACCGCTCAGACACTGGCCACGGTGGGCGTCCATCCCCGCCTCTGACTCCTGCTCCAAACAGATGTGTGACCCCTCCCAGGGCCGAGTCCACTCGGCCGAGTGTGAGAAGGTGTATAAAACGAGGTGAGCTCAGCCTATCCTGTTGTTGTTTGTTCATGTACCCCGTTAAGCACCCGGCACCCACAAATCCTTGCCACCAGCTTGAATGAACAAGGAAACTTTGTCTTAAACTTTGCTCTTTTTTTTTTTTGGCATCGTTGACATCTTCCTGTGAGTCGGAGGCTAGGATTCGCCCCAACAGGTCAGTAATGCTCTTTACAGCAAGGCGGCCCCCGGGGTGTCTAGAGCGTGAACCAAAGACCGGATGGTTTGAAACCGTCCGTTTGAAAAGGGTGCTGTACAAATACGTGCAGCCACGTGCTGACCAGACCAGGCTGTCGACCCAGATGGTCCATTTGGGGATCGGGGCCCACGCTGGTTCAATCTCAGCATCAAATCGACCAGACAAGGATCCGAACTAGACATCTGGGTTCCGCTGGCCAGCACCCTGTGAAACGCAGACTTCAAGATCCTCCCGCCCTTGGGGAGTCTCACGAAAACGAACGAACGTACCGTCCGGCACGGGGAACAGAGACAGTAACACCCATAACCACAAGGCGCCCGGTGGGCACTTCTTGGGAGGACGGCTTTATGACTTCGGTAATTTTCTGACCGCGATGCTGTACGCGTGAAACTGACACAGAGTAACACCGAATGTCCACTCAGTGAAAGAAGGAGAGTGACCTTTTCCCTACGATTCTAAGAGGCCGGTCCCCACTGAAGTTTCAACTCCTCTGAAACAAGAAAACCTCCTGCAATTAATGTAGTTAGTATAACCCCCTCCTCTCCTGTCCCCTCCCCTGTATAAAACGTACTTATCATCTATACACAGCACACAGCGGACAGCGTCCGAGGCCCCCGGAGACCTGCCCTCCCGTCTCCGTCCGTCTGGACGCGTGACCCCGAGAGCGCGCCCGTGGTCCTACCTGCGGAAGTCCAGCAGAGACCGCGTGGAGGACGGCACCCCCTGGTCATACCAGCTCAGGAAGTGGAACTGGGTCACCGTGCGCGTCTCGCTGGTCTGCAGGTTCTTCAGGTAGAAGCTCCGCACGAGGAAGTCCTCACACCAGATGTGCTCGGAGACCAGGTTGACCTGGGGGGCAGGGGTGGGGCAGACAGGTCGGCGCCTCGGAGGCGTCGGGTGTGCGTCTCGGACGGTGGGCCGCGGGCTCGACACCCACGCATGTCCCGATTCTCACGTGGTTGGTACGGAAGGTACCTTTGTGGGGCCATAACGGTCAGATGATGAGAAAAGTGTCTAACAACCCAGAACCACTTCCCAGGCCATAGGAACCTTCCAGAGAAATCGTCAGGGAAAAGCCACACTTTTGAACAGAAAGGCCAGTGGGTTCCACGCTAGCGTCCGTTCTGTCATAGGTGGCGGCCTGGAAGTGCAGAGGAGCCACGGGCCCCTCGCAGACATGTGCCACGACCCAGGCTCGACTGAAGCCCATTTGGTGGCCAAGAGCCATGACCGGGGACTTAGGAGCATCTGTGAGTGTCCTGACGTGGGGCGAGCGCTCTGACCACACTGAGTGCACAGCAGAGCCCGAGGGGGGTTCTTACGAGCGCCCACGTTTACTGGCTTCACTCTGGACGTGGGTAGGAGATCCAGCAAGAGAAATACGCTTGCCAGCAGGTACTCCTCAAATAAAAAGGTGGGCAGGGCGGTGGGGGACCCTGGCGCAGGCTGAGATCAGTAAGTGAGACCAACGGCAGGTTCTTCCTAGAAACGAACTGGGGACCTGGCTGCACAGACCACCCAGCGAGGGCTCTCTCTGCCCTTTCTGTCGGCCTGTGGATCCCCAAACTAAAACTAAAACCGAGAACCGTGCCGTGACGCCCGGGTCCGAGTCCCAGGGGTGCGGCCGTGGAGCTGGGCGTCACTGATCATGGGGACCCGGCCACGCGTGGGCTCAGGGGCCAGTACCTCGTAGACGTGGTAGAGGTTGGAGCCCTCGTCAGGCCAGTAGTGGCAGCACTGCCGGACGCCGCTCTCCGACACGGGGGTCAGCATGACGATGACCACGCAGCCGCTCTCCCACACCATCTGCGCGAGAGAAGGCCACGGCCACGTGTGACTGGCGGGTTGCCGTGCGGACACGTCCACGCGTGCCGCAGCCACAGGACACACTTCCGCCGGACGCTCACTCTGCACTGGGAGCCCTGCACGGCCCCTGGACTGTTGAATGAACCTGGTGCGTCCGCGCCTTTCGAAGCCTCCTCAGGTCCTGTTCAGCGCTGGACGCCCCAGTTTTGCTCTGTGAAGGAAACTTCCCACAAAGACACAGACAGACCCGCACCGTGTCCACGCCCTCTCCCTCCCCGCCCGCCAGCTCGGTCCCGCTCTCCAGGGTGCCGTTCTGTGTGACGGGGACGCTTCGCTGCGCTGCGTTTCGAAGAGTGTTCCGGAAAGCCACGTCTCGCCATGGGAATGCCACGGACACCCCAAAAGGCAGCAGTGCTGTTCCAACAAGAACACGCCCCAAACCGACGTAATAATTCATAACAGCCACATTCAAGACAACCCTGAGACCCGGCAAACAAATACCCGTGGCACGTGGCAAAAATGGCAAAGTCGTGAAAATCCTCCATCCAACGCTCAAGGCCGGGCTGGCAGCCCGAGCGCGACGCCTGCGCAGAAAGACCCTGGCTGTACGGGGTCCTCCGGGCACCCGACGGTCTGAGCGCCCAGCCCCAGCCAGGGGCCGCTGTTCCCACAGGCCCACGTCAGCTCCCAGAAACACTGGCAGGAAGCAGCACTTAGACGTCAACCGAGCACGACCGCGTCAGCGCCTGAACGCCCACGCGCGGCCCAATTAGGAGCTTGTTATTTAAAAATCCACATCTCAGATACTAAATGCTTTCTCTCTCTATTGCTCCTGCTCCTCCATCCCCCCCCCAAACCATACTTCAAAAATCAGACGCTGCACGACCAGCTTCTCTTTTAATATTGATTTATATTCCCACGCGATGGAGACCGTCCGCCCTCGCGGGCGCCTCGCCGCGCATCATTTGTACTGCAGTTTAATGGGACCCGCTGACATGTTTACGGAAAAGCCCACCAATAAACGTGAGTGATGCTCTCGCCCACACGCTCCTTCCCTGGTGCGGGTGCAGCCGCGGGATGAGAATCCGCAGCCTCGGTCCGACGCTCGTGTCCGGGCTTTGCCGGCGGCCCGCTGATGGGCCCGGTGGCACGCACCACATAATGGGGCCTTTGGAAGGTGGAGGAGCTCGTTGAAGCCATTACGAAAATGAGGAGGAACACAGATTTTATGAGCGTAATAAAAACACAATGATCGAGACCGTAAACTAATCAGCCGGCACTCTGCCGTGCCGCCCCGTGGGCATCGGGGAGCCTCCTCGGGTAGGGACGTGTCCGGGCGGGTGGCAGGCTCCCGTTCAGAGGGTCCCCGGCTCTCCGAAGATCTGGGTGAGATTAAATCCAGATGAAACTTAATTGAAGCCAACAGCCCAAAGGCACTCTCGGGGGTGACATTTCTTTGTAGGTCACTGCGTAAGCGCAGGAAGGGGAACTGACTACAGGAGACAAACAGGCAGCTGCCTGGGCCCCCACGTCAGCGCTGGCAGCGGCCAGAGTCAGGGCCACCGCCTGTCCTGCCCTTTCTGCCTCCACCCAGGGCCCACCGGCTGACCTGCAGACACTGGAGCGTGGATCTTGGCGGGAGCCCAGGACGCCCGTGGAGACCCCAGCTCACCAAGGTCCGTTTGTTTCTAACGGGCGCCGGTCGTGTGTGCCTGTGGCTCCGCAGGGGGGCACGGATCTCAGAGAAATCAGGTTCCTGTCCCAGGAGCTGAGGATCGACCCCGAGTCCCTGCCTGGCCACGTGGACTCCCCTGGGACAGGCGGGTTCCTACCCTCAGACCGGGAACGGCCATTTCTAGCATTTCTGTTTGGTTAGGGGTCAGAGGACAGGTGTCCGTGGCCACCTGCTGGGTCATCGGGCACTTTTTCGAGCTCCTTGTATGTCTGGAGGTGACTCAAGTCCGGCCGTGGGGTCCCGCCCACGGCTCCCTCCATGGGGTGTAAAGAGGGTGACTTTCCCCAACCGGATCAAAACAAAGGCCCCAGCCTGGCTGCTGTGGCTCAGCGGTTAGAGCGTCGGCTGAGGACCAGAGAGACCCGGGTTCGGTTCCCGCTAAGGGCATGTACCCCGGCTGCGGTTTCTCCCCGGCCCTGGTTGGGTCGTGCGGGTGGCAGCCACTCGATGTGTCCCTTTCACATCGATGTTTCTCTCTCTCTCTCTCCCTCCCGCTCTGTCTGAAGATAAATGAAAAAAATGTCCTCGGGTGAGGACTAAAAACAGAACAAAACAAAGCTGCCGGCACAGATTACAAAGGAGCCTTAGGGTGCGGGGTCCTGGCGGGGTCCCGACGTCGGGTGAGTGGGGCATCTGGGGGGCTCGGAGTCGCCCCGTCTGGCTCCTTTTCTAACGCCCAGGACGCCTCTGGGTGACTCCTCGGCTGCCGGAGCGAGGTGCCGCCCTCACGACCTCCTCAGTGGGCAGAACAAACGCCCACCACTGCCCCCGACGCCCGAGCCCTCCGCCGGTCGGTCACTCCGGGCAGCAGCCGACGCGGCTCCGAGGGATCAGCTGCCGGCAGTGGGGACGTGACCGCAAAGTGACTCAGGCCGGCACCCCAGTGACACGAGCACAGACCTTGGCTGCCATCTGGCCCAATGGGGCTGGTTTACTGATTGTAGGGAAAAGGCATGTTGTCTCCCGGAGGGACGGGAGGTGTTGTCTCCCAGAGGGACGGGAGGTGTCCCCTGGAGGGAGGGGGGTGTCGTCCCCTGGAGAGACGGGTTGTGGCCCTCACTGCCGGCACCTGTCACGGGACTGTCTGTGGACACAGAGTCCCTGCGGATGTGACCCAGTTAAAAGGCTGAGTGACATGGGTCCTGACGCGGTAGGACTGCGTCCTCATCGGAACAGGGGGACGGCCCGTGATTGACCAGGGCGCAGAGATGGGCCGCCTGGGCCACTGAGCACTAGAAGAGGGGCCTCCGCTGGCCAATCTCCGGCCCTTGGGCTCCGGCCTCCGCAGCTGGGCGACAAGACGTCTGCTGTTGCTGCTGCCCAGGACCTGGTCCCTGGTGACCAATGACCTGGGCTCCACCTCAAACCATCTGGGCCCTCGGAAACCTCACCTGCTTCCCACGAGGCTGATTAAAGCAGGTGGGGGGGACTGTGGGGTCTCTTCACCCGCAGTCTTGAAACCCCACTGAGCCCGGGGGGAGGAGAGATGGCCCCCCCCACGGACGCTGGGCGCCTCTTGCACAGCACGTGGCTCCCCGACCCGACCGCGATGCGTCCGACCCGCCTCCTGCCGCGTGTTCCTCCCCAGACTGTCCGCTCCTGGGAGTTGTGCTCGGCCGGCCGCTGTCTCCCACGTGGCTCCTGTGTGCTGACCGACCCTGGTGCTTGGTGGGAACCACCCTCGTGTCCCAAGAGGTCATTTGACTGTTTCAGTGAAGAGAGGTGACCCAGAGGAGACCCATCGAGGGCTTGCGGTCCTTCCGCACCTGCTTCCTGCCTGGAGCAGCGTGTCCGGGTCTCAGCTGCCAGACACCTGGTGGGCACCCGGGCGGTGGGCGCGGGGCGAGGGCCGTGGTCGCAGTGAGGCTGTGGCACCGCCACCGTCCAACTCCTTCCGGGGGCGCGACAGGGACAGACCTAAGCCTGACGACAAGGACGCTGAGCTGGACTGAGAAACGGGGGTAGTCACCTCGTCACCGCTGTGCGCTCACTGGTGTCCCTGCGGTCACCACGGGGTCCGAGACAGAAGACGGACAAGCCGCGGCGTCCGCACGCCTCCAGCCGGCGAGACCCGCCCGGCGTGACTGGGGCCCTGAGGACGATGCTGCCACGTTGTCAAGCTCTGTGTCGGTTTCCGTCCCCTGGTCACAGGCCGTGTGGGTCCGCGGGCTTCGAGCTGGTCCCCGACTCCGCGAGGGTGGGGCTCCGAGCTGGTCCCCGACTCCGCGAGGGCGGGGCTTCACCCCGACTGTGGCCCAAGCGCACCTGCCTGGAGCCCCTCAGCGGCCAGGTGCCAGCACGGCTCCTTCAGAGGGAGGGCGCGGAGGGCCGAGGAGGCTGGTTGGGTTCGGCGCCGGGAGCAGCAGAAAATGCTCAGACCAGACCTGAGCCAAACCCGTGCAGCAGCCGCGGCCGGATGTCGACAAGCAGCAGCCTCAGGAGGTTTCCCACCAGCGACAGCGCTTTTGCCCAAAGGGGAGGAAGCATCCAGACAAGACGCCCCGGCCGCTTCCCTGGGCTTGCGAGCTCCTTGGAATGAGAACTAGGTGTCGGGCAGACCCCTGTGCTGGAGTGAGCCCCGCGCCAGGGAGGGGTCCCCACGGCCGACCAGACAACAGTGAGGTGGTACCAGGTGGCGCGGGGCTGGGGGAGGAGGGTCAGGGGGCAGCCAGGTGGTTAGGGGGAGTGCTGGTGCTGGGGGGGGGCCACAGTGCCGTCTCGGGCGACCGTTACAGAACGGCACCCCTGAAACTTATAGGATGTCATCAACCAATGTTTCCCCATAAATGTGATTAAAAAAATCAACCAGTCTGTCAATTACCAGGGCTCCTAAGTGAATGTCCCCTTTATTCTGAGAATCTGTGACGTCTCAGTGCGTCCCCTCCGGCCACTTGCTACCCGGGGTGGACGGGACGAGCACCCGGACCTTCTCTGTGAGCATCAGAGGCGTCTGGGGCCTGGGGAGACCTGGGGAGACTGGGGGAGACCGTGCTGTCACACAGGGGGGCCTCGCAGGTACGCAGGGCCTGAGCCCTGGGCTGACGTGGGCTCAGGAGGAAGGGTCGCTGGGCCGGGTCTCCATGGAGACGGGGGCTGGGATGGCCAGAGCCTGTCACCTCCGGGTGCCCCAGGTGTGGCTCCTGGGGGCTCTGATGACGGTGGTCCCCAGGAAGCGGTCATCTGTTGGCTGCCTGCAGACGGGACTCAGGAGCACCCCATACCTGGGCTGCGTCCGCCCCTCACTGCGTCCCTGGGGTCTCCCTTGGTACTGGGGTCTTCTGACCCCCCCGAGAACGGTGACGGGTGAGTGTTCAAGAGGTGCGTCCGTGAAGTCCAACCGATCGCTTCCGGAGATAATGCGCCTTTCCCAGCTGACTCCACGGCAGACGCGTCCGGACAGCGGGGAACGGACGGGCGGGCGAATGTTTTCGGTCAAGTGTCAACAATTCGCAGGATGTGTTGACAGGCGGGGCTCCTACTGAGCCCTTCGCTCTGCCTTGCGGTCTGTGTCCCTGACCAGCCAGGTGACGCCCTCGGCCTCCAGTCCTGACCGAGCCTGTTCGTTGGGGCTCGAGATTAACCCCCCCTCCCGGAAGAAGCTGCACAGGGTGACGAGGGCACCGTCCCGGGACCCGGGGCCGAGCCCCTGGGCCCAGAGGTGCTCCCCTCATTGGCCCGGAAGCTTGTCCCAGAACCGGCCTAACACGCAGTCCGGTGGCTCTCACCACGGTGACAAGTTCGGTCAACAGAACACGGATGCAGTGGGTTTTATTTCTTCCGGGAGCCTGGAGACAACCAGGCAGAGCAGGGCCTCGAGCCCCGGCCGGGTCTGCTCCACACTCGCAGCTCGGCCATCACTCGCCCAGGGCGGACCCCACACCCTGTGTCAGTGCACAGACAGGGAAGGAGCCGGTGGGCCCACACCCGGGGTCCCTTCCCCTCCTCTGGGTGGACAGTCAGGGCCGCGGGAGAGGGGATGGACAGCAGGGAACAGAAAGAACGGGGTACAGTGAGCTTGTTGACGCGCAGCTGAGGGTCTGCGCCCTCCAGGGGCCCACGCTCCAGCTCTCATGGTCGGCTGCTCGCCGGCTACCCGCACCAGACCCCTCCGCGCCCCTCCACCCGCGCCACCCACCTGAGGGGCACCTCCCTCTCAGCTCCCGGTCCTCCCTGGAGGGGCACCGGTGCCCACACCTAGGGGACTGCTGTGGTCACCGGACCACCAGCCACAGGCACGGGGGAGCCTGACCCCCGGAGCCACCCTGCAAACTCCACCTGCTCGGCCACGCGGGTCGGGCGGGGAAGAGAGCGAGGGGGACGTTGCTGATGTCGGCCAGTGGGGGTTCTTGACGCCCGAGCCCGGCTGCTGTTCGGGGTTACCCCGGGCAAAAGGGGAGCAGCCCGGGTGGCTCAGCTGCTTAGAGCGGCGTCCCGACACACCAAGGCTGCGGGTTCGATCCCCGGTCAGGGCCCACACAGGAACTGACCAACGCATGCGTGAATAAGTGGAAAAACAAATCAGTGTTTCTCTCTCTCTCTCTTTCTAAAATCATGAAAAAATGCGTTTCGGAGAACCCACAGAGAAGAGAAACTATCATCTGGCTTCATATTTACCTTCAGAAGATTAAGCGACAGATAAGAGACACACTTTGATCAAATAAAACATCAATTTCATTTCTTCCAGTTTCAAAAGAATAGAAGTGTCAAGTGGCAAAGAACGTGTCTTTAGAGCATGCAATCTCTTGAGCGGATTTGTTTTTCATACTCAGATTCGGAAAAACAAATCGATCGTGAGATTAACGGCCTCCTGTAGATTCCGGGATCGTGTAACACCGGGTACAGCCTGTAAACACGTTTGCATCGGCCTCGTCCGACCCACGGCCTTGTTCACGATCGACGTAAGACCTTATTTTCAGAAAAACAGATGAGTTAAAAATCACTTGCCTGCCAGAAGTCGGCCACGGTGGCGGGGAGCGGTCCTTGGGTGGCGATGTACGCGGGGTTCCTGGGGTCGTGGTCCATCTGCAGAGACCAGATGCACATGGTGAGCTCAGGAAATGGTCAAAGGCGAGAAGTTAAACGTCTTTGAAGGGGGAGGGCACGCCCTGCTCCGACGCCGCGTGGACACGCCTCCAGACTGCCCCTCACCGCCTCAAACACGGGGCCCCGGAGCCCGGGCGTCATGGCCAAATGTCCTTCTTATACCCGACGTGCAGGTAGCAGGAGCGACATCAGACATGAAGACCAGTCGGCCCAAACCAGGTGCCGAGAAGTGAACCCGCTACCCAGGCAGGGCCAGCTTTCTGCAGACTGGACGGTCCCGGAGCAGGTGCACCCAGGGTGCGGGGCCTCCCCGCTGCCGCAGGCCGTGGGCAGACCCGATTCAAGGAAACGCCCAGCTGTTCGACCCGCGGGCGCTGGGCTGGCGGGAGGTGAGGGCACCGTGCACCGGGCTCCATCTCCCGGCGGGAAGCAGTCATGAACGGCTCCCTGGGCGCTTGTTTTGTCACCACGAAGGGCTCGGGCGCAGCTGAGTCACTCGGTGTCTGGAGCCCCGAGTGGCAGGCGTGTCCTGAGAGAGAAGCCGGCCCCCAGCAGCTGAGCCCAATCGGACGGGGGCTGGACACACAGAGGCGGGCAGCCTGGTTTCCCGGCCAGTCGGTCTGGCCGCCGCCTGCCAGCCTCCATGGGGAAGCTGTGCTCAAAGATCTTAATTATAACGTTTAACGGGAAGACCGACTAAGCGAAAAGAAGAACGTGGGAACAAAGAGGACTGGCACGTTCCCAGGGCTGGCGGGGGCCGAGGCTGCCCCCCAACGCCACGGCCTGGCCATCCAGAGGACAGGGCCACGCAGGCTGGTGTCGGCCGCTCACCCCCTCGCCGTCCTCTCCCAGCCCAGTGGGGCCGCAGAGACGCCCGGCACCGGCGGGGGCTCGGCTCCGTGCGGGCAGCGGTCACTCACCAGACCCACACCCTGCGTGCGGCTGCACCCACCATGGACACCAGGGCTCACTCGGCACCGAAGATGCTGATTTAAAAGGTCACGGTTACAAACACATTTCCCAACCCAGTGAGAGGTGAGAAAGACACCTGTGGACATCAGGTGGGCACCAGTGTCACCTCAGCACCCCGCTGTGCGTGCGGGCCCGGCGAGCCGGGGGGGACCAGGGGGACCACCGCCGCAAGCAGCGGTCTGGAGACCGTGCACAGCCCCCAGCACTGCCCCGTGGCGCTGTCGGCACAAAGCACACACCGAGCGCCTCATGACCGCGCCCCGAAGGGTGGGGACAGGAGGGCAGACGTGTCATTCCAGGGGAACCGCACGGTGGCGCTGGCTGGGGCTCGGGGCAGGAGGCCGCTTCCTGTGCGTGTGATTCGGAATCGACACGGGACCTCATTCTGAACTTCCCCACCGCACGCCCGTACGGGTACAGTCATGTTCCTCTCGCCGAGAGCCCCTTACGACGTGTCCGTGGAAATACGCCGAGCAGGAATGAGGGATGGTTTTCGAGGTGCGTCTGTGCCGGGGAGACAGAGGAGAGTCTGGGCGCCACACGCAAGCACGGCGAGCCCCCGAGTGTGTGCTGGTGGGGCTGACGGTTTCTCAGGGCGATGCTGTTCTTGCACCAGCAGCCTCGTCCACACCGGACTTCAACGGAAGTAGCTCAGGCTTCTGGAACTTGGAACCCGCAGAATAGGGACGAGGGGGGCTTGCCACACTGCCTCGGGGCTTTCAGACCTGGGGTGACTGCTGTGGCTCCCAGGCCCTGTCTCCTGGGCATCCCAGGGACAAGGAGCCGCACAAGGTGACTTGTGCCCAGGTGGGCTTGGTCCACGGTGCAGGGACTGGGTCCAGACCCCTACAGACCTGGCCTCCCGGACACGCTTTCCCCGTCGAGGGGGGACAGCCAGTCAGCGAGGCTTTGGCTTCATTGTTTGAATCAGGACCGAGAAGAAAAGACCACACGCCGTGGCAGTGTGCTGGAGAAAAGACCGAGCGGCTGCGGTGAGACCTCGGCTGGACGGACACAGGCAGGTCGTCCTCACACGGGACCGCAGACCAGCGGTCCGGGCTCAGCTGGGTGCAGACCAGGTACCCCCGGCCGTCCTCACTCTGCGCTGTGCTCGCGCCGGGTGCGTGAGAAGCGTCAGGAAGTGGGTTGTGGCCCCGGGCACGGGGAGCCTTAACTCGCTCTTTCTTATACGACAGGTCCTTTGAAATGAGTGGGACCAGCAAGGTGATCGGCCGCGGTCGTCACGGTCAGCCGTCAGCTGCTCGAACCCACGTGGCCCTGCTCTCGTGGACAGTTCACTGCCGAGGAGCCGTTAGACCCAGGGTGCCTCTCGTGGATCCAGAGACGACCCCGTCCCACCCCAACACCACCATCCACAGCCACTGCCTTGGACGCCCGGGCGGCCCAGCACCCACACCACTGTCCTCGACTGAATGTGAAGGAGGTTTCAGCAAGACGTCTGGATGCCTCCCGGACGCCGCCGTGGGGAAGTGTCTAAGCGCCGCCACGTCAGCCCCACCTCTCTGCTGCTGCTCCAAACGCCCAGAAACGCTCCAGTGCCCCCCCCCCCATGGGCAGTTACGCATCCCCCCCCTCCACAGCTGCAGACCCAGCCTGTCTGTCCCCACGGGGCCAGGAGAAGAGGACCCGAGGCCGTACACAGACAGGAAGACAGATGACACCAGGCAGCGTGGGCTGTGAGGAGCCCCCCGAGCTGGGACGGTGGGCTGGGGGCGGGACACTGAAACCCAGGGGTCGAGGGGCTGGGCTGCGCCCCCAGACACGGGGCACACTGCTCCCTGCCCGACCGGCCCCCACCTCCCTGGGGACAGCTCCCAGCACCCCGGAGAAGCTCAAGCACCAGCAGTCGTGTGGACAAGCCCCGGGTGCGCCTCTGTCTCCCCCCAAATAACAGGGACACAGGTGGGCCTAGAACTGGGCAACGCAACCAACTGTGGTTTTCCCTCAACACCATGGGTTCCGGTCAGTGAGCCTTCAGGTCTCGGTGCCAGTGCTCAGGACACAGCCGCCAGGCTCTCTGGGTAAGGCTGGTGCTGGTTGAGGCTAGTTACCTGGTTAAGGCTGGTGCTGAGGCTAGTTAACTGGTTGAGACTAGTAACCTAATAGACTAGTTACCTGGCTAAGTGTGGTTACTAGTTGAGGCTAGCTTTCTGGTTAAGGCTGGTGATGAGGCTAGTGACCTGGTTGAGACTAGTAACCTGGTACAAACTAGTTACCTGGTAGACACTAGTTATCTGGTTAAGGCTGGTTACTGGTTGAGACTAGTTACCCAGTTAAGGCTGTTTACTGGTTGAAGCTAATTACCTGGTTAAGGCTGGTGATGAGGCTAGTGACCTGGTTGAGACTAGTCACCTTGTTAAGGCTAGTTACTGGTGGAGACTAGTAATCTGGTGAAGGTTGGTTACTGGTGGAGACTAGTTATCTGGCGAAGGCTGGTTACTGGTGGAGGCTAGTTATCTGGCGAAGGCTGGTTACTGGTGGAGGCTAGTTATCTGGCGAAGGCTGGTTACTGGTGGAGACTAGTTACCCAGTTAAGGCTGTTTACTGGTTGAAGCTAATTACCTGGTTAAGGCTGGTGATGAGGCTAGTGACCTGGTTGAGACTAGTCACCTTGTTAAGGCTAGTTACTGGTGGAGACTAGTTATCTGGTGAAGGCTGGTTACTGGTGGAGACTAGTTACCAGCTATCCCCAGGAGCAGGGCAGGGTGTCCCCTGAAAGCCCAGGAGGCTCACCCGGTGCCCCGGGAAGGCAGGGCGGGCACTTACGATGGGGCTGGCGTTGATGTAGTCCGAGTTGCTGTGGCTGTTCTCCGCCTTCAGCAGGATCCTGGAGTGGTCGTCTGCAACAAGCAGAGCAGAGGGTTAGTGTGTGCGCAGCCCGCCCGAGGGGAGTGTGGAGCCACGGCTGTGAGCGCCACGCGGCTGCCCGCTGCCACGCGGCGTCCTCCGGAGCCTGCTCAGCCCTCCTGAGTGGCCTTTCTCCCGCCTTCGTTCCCACCCATCTCCACGGGGAGGGGACAGGCTGTGCGGGCACCTGGCACTCGGTTCACTCGGGACAACCTGGACAGACTCCTGCTTTGCTTTTTTTTATCCTCACTGGAGGACATTTTTCTGTTTATCATCAGACAGAGTGGAAGGGAGGGAGAAGGAGAGAGAGAGACACATCGACTGGCTGCCTCCCGCACGACCCGACCACAACCAGGGACAAACTGCAACTGAGGTACGTGCCTGTAATCGAACCCGTGACACATTGGTTCGTGGGCTGACACTCTACCGCTGAGCCAAACAGGCCAGGGCACAACTTTTTATATAAAGTTTTCCTTTCAATATATTTGGCAACACAGTAAGTAAATGTTTACACGCATATTGAACTACTAGGCCACCATCCAATATACCCAGTTTTGTCGTCTACCAACAGTTAAGCCCTCCAGGTTACAGGAATTTCATTTTAAAAGGCAACTCAGAAAAAAACAAAATGTACAGGGGCCCACGGACACACAAATGTGCCTTAAACAGGCAAAATACTGTGACTCGTGTTGAAACCAGGCACATCCAGGGGGACCAAGGACGTGCGTCTGTCAAATGTGTTGGATACGTGAGTTATTCTTCGTGTTGGCCCAGAGCAACCACCCGCTGCACGGTGACACCCCTCTGCCTGTTTTCAGGAACGTTCAACGTGGGGCCTTGTGGGGTTGGAGGACGGGACGGGGGAGCAGGGTCGCTCACCAGAGTCCTCCCACCCTGTCCTTCAGGCGCCCCTGGTTTGGCAGCCCGTCTGCAGGCGCAGTGGGGAGGGAGCCCCGGGCTCCGCGGGGCGCTGGGCTGCACCTTTGCTGCCCGGACTGCGTGCTGGAGGAGCACACCTGCCTCTTTCTCTGAGGGGGTGGCGGCCACCTGGCGGGAGCCTGGGAAGCCAGGGTTTCCGGTCAGTGAGTGTGTCGCCCCGTCGCCCCGGGTCCCGCTTCCCTGCACTTGAACGGGGTCTCCGCGCAGGAACGGCTGCTGGCCCTGAGATTCTCTGCGTGGGGGTGGGACGGCACCGACACTGCGTGGCCTGCACTTCCTTCCTCCCTCGGGGACAGGTCACTGGCGTGTAAACAATTCCGGAGCTTGGGACACTGGTGAGCCCTGTAACTGATGGAGCTTGGGAAGTGTGTCTGCCAGACCGGACGCCATCCCACGGGTCTTATCACCATCCCAACGTTGGCTCTTCCCGCTGGAGACAAGACAGAACCGTCCGGAGCTGGGGACAGAGCTCACGCACCGCCGGGTGTCACGGGCGCATCCGTGGCACACATGCTGCAGAGTCACGGTGGCGGCCGCCCGGTCACCCACAGCACGAATAACGGTGCAGAACCTGCAGACACGATGGCGTTGGGCTCTGCACACACTTTTTGTTGAGGGTGGAAACAGGCGGTGGCAGGAAATCGAAATAAAATTGACCAAAAAGCCGGTCAATGCTGACCCTACCATGTTATAAACACGACCTTCAAAGTTAAGTTCAAGCGGACTCATCAAGCCTGAGAGGGGACAGTGGCTCAGGGCAGGTGCCCTGGGCGCTGCTCCAGCTGCTCCCCGAGGGCCGCGGGGTCTCCCAGGAGCCCACTAGGGCTTCGACGCTTCCGCGTTCTGCTATCTTCCAGGCATAGGCTGGACTCCGTGGCAACACATTACTTTTATTTTGAATTTTTATTTTTTGGGGGGTGGGTCGTATAGTTTAATTTTTTAAAAATGATCATTTTTTATTGTTGAAAGTATTACAGATGTCCCCCCTTTCCCCATGGACCCCCTCCTTTCCGCTCCCACCTCCAGCCTCATTAGCGTCCACGTCGACTGGTTGTGCGTAAATGCAGACGAGTTCTACGGTTGGTCTCTTCCACCCCCTTCCCGCTGAGGTCTGTCAGTCTGCTCCCTACTTCCGTGATTCTGGGTCTCTTTTGGTCGACAGCTTATTCTGTTCATTATGTTCCACAAATAAGTGAGATCATGTGCTACTTGTCTTTCTCTGACTGGCTTGTTTCGCTTAAGATAATACTTTCCAGCAGTCCCTCCATGTCATCTCAAAGGATAAGAGATCTTTCTTTCTTACAGCTGCATAGTACTTCGTTGTGTACATGTACCACAGCTTTGTTATCCATCCGTCTACTGATGGACACTTGGGCTGTTTCCAGATCTTAGCTATTGTAAATAGTGCTGCTATGAATACAGGGGTACATATATTCTTTCTGATTGGTGTTTCAGGCTTCATAGGGTATATTCCTAGAAGTGAGGTCACTGGGTCAAATAGCAGTCTCATTTTTAATTTTTGAGGTAACACCATAGTGTTTTCCATAGTGGCTGCACCAGTCTGCATTCCCACCAGCAGTGCACTAGAGTCCCCTTTTCTCCACACCCTCGCCAACACTTGTTGTTTGAGGATTTGTTGATGGCGGCCATTCTGACAGGTGTGAGGTGACACCTCATAGTCATTTTAATTTGCATCTCTCTGATGATTAGAGTTGAGCTTTTTTTTTTTCTTTCATGTCTCTTGGCTTTTTGTATGTTCTATTTGGAAGAGTGTCTATTCAGGTCCTCTGCCCATTTTTTTAATTGGGTTGTTTGTCTTCTTTTTGTTGAGTTGTATGAGTATTCTATATATTTTAGACATTAATCCCTTATCCAGTGTGTCATTGGCAAATGTAGTAGGTTCCCATACAGTGGGTTCCCTTTCCATTTTGACACTGGTTTCTTTTGCTGTGCATAAACTTTTAATTTGATGTAGTCTCATGTATTAATTTTTTCCTTTGTTTCTCTTGCCCTAAGGCATTATATCAGTGAAAAATCTACTATGTATGATGTCTAAGATTTTTTTTATATCCTCACCCAAGAATATTTCCTCCATTTATTTTCAGACAGAGTGGGAGGGAGAGAGAGAGAGAGAGAGAGATATCAATGTGAGAGAGACACATCAACTGGTTGCCTCCTCTTGCATGACCCCGACCAGCGCCAGGGAATGAACCACAGCTGAGGTACATGCCCTTGACTGGAATCGAACCTGGGACTCTTTGGTCTGTGGGCTGATGTTCCAACTGCTGAGGCAAACCGGCCAGGGTAGTGTCTAAGATTTTTCTGCCTAAATTTTCTTCTAGGATTTTTATGGTTTCATGAACCTTTAAATCTTTTATCCATTTTGAGTTTATTCTTGTGTAGGGTGTAAGTTGGTGGTCTAGTTTCTTTTTTTGCATGTAGCTGTCCAATTTTCCCAACACCATTTATCGAAGGGATGGTATTTTCTCCATTGTATGCTCTGGCCTCCTTTGTCGAATATTAATTGTGCATATTGTCCTGGGTCAATATCTGAGTTGTCTGTCCTGTTCCATGGATCTATGTGCCTATTCTTGTGCCAGTACCAGGCTGTTTTGATTACAGCGTCTTTGTAGTATAACCTGATATATGGTATTGTGATCCCTCCTACTTTGTTCTTCTTTTTCAAGATTGCTGTGGCAATTTGGGGTATTTTATGGTTCCATATAATCTTTTGGAGTATTTGTTCTAGTTCTGTAAAATAGGCCATTGGTACTTTAATAGGGATTGCATTGAATCTGTAGATTGCTTTGGGTAGTATGGGCATTTTAATGATGTTGATTCTTCCAATCCATGAACATGGTATATGCTTCTACTTTTTATATCTTCCTCTATTTCTTTTTTCAATGTCCTGTAGTTTTCGGAGAACAGGTCTTTTACCTCCTTGGTTAAATTTACTCCTAGGTATTTTGTTGTTGCTGCAATGGTAAATGGGATTGTTTTTTAAATTTCCCTGTGTGTTCATTATTGGTGTATAAGAATGCTATTAATTTCTGGATGTTAGTTTTGTATCCTGCTACTTTGCCAAATTCATTTATTAAATCTAGTAGATTTCTGATGGAGTCTTCAGGGTTTTCTATGTACAGTATCATGTCATCTTTAAATAACGACAGTTTCACTTCCTCCTTTCCAATTTGGATCCCTTTTATTTTTTCTTCTTGTCTAATTGCTGTGGCTAAGACTTCCAGCACTATGTTAAATAAAAGGGGTGAAAGTGGGCATCCCTGTCTTGTTCTTGTTCTTGAGAGAAATTTTAGTTTTTGCCCATTGAGTATGACGTTGGTTGTAGGTTTTTCATATATGGCCTTTATTATGTTGAGATATGATTCCTCTATTCCCACATTGCTGAGCATTTTTAATGAAAATGGATGCTGGATTTTGTCGAATGCTTTTTCAGCATCTATTGATATGATCATTTGCTTTTTATCTTTCATTTTGTTTATGTGGTGTATCACATTTATTGATTGGCGAATATTGTACCAGCCTTGCATCTCTGCAATCAATCCCACTTGGTCATGGTGAATAATTTTTTAATGTATTGTTGGACCCAATTTGCTCATATTTTGTTAAGGATTTTTGCATCTATGTTCATCAGGGATATTGGCCTGTCATCTTTTTTTTTCTTTGTAGGCAACATGTTGATTTTAAAGTTAATAGTGATTTTATTTAGTTTTGATATCGGGCCACCTTGAACCTACCTTTGAAACGCCTGAGCCATGCAGAGTGACGCTGGTCAGGGCTCAGTGAAGGCCACGCAGCAGAGCCTGTCCATGGACGTGCCCCTCAGCCAGGCAGAGCTCCGAACTGTCCTGTGGTCCACTTTTCCTGGTCATCATTCCTGAGGAGAGGTCACGGGAGTCCGTGTGATGACACCGGGTCCGACTACAGCTGCCCTTGTCTCTGCGATGCAGGGGCAGGAGGGTGACTCACTCAGGGTCAACGAGTGAGCCTGAGATGAAGCAGGCTCGTCCTCAGTCTGTCCTGTGCTCCACTGACC